TAAGGTTTTGTTGTGACAGGTGAAATGCTGAATTATACATCTTTGTACAGGTGTCTGATAAAATTGTTGCTGTTCTAACAAATTGTTTATGATGTCCATAAAACCTGTCTCATTATACAAATTACATATGTAGGTGTTTAATATAACATACATTTCTCAGTTTGACAGCTCTAGGTGTATTTGTATTCCATCTTAATAATACTGATCTTATTTGTTTCAAAATCTACAATCATTGTGGCCAAGACTGTATTTGTGTATTGAAATTGTGTATAAAATAATCGTTGTTTTTAAATACAACTTTTTAGTTTTTGAAATTAAACAGACACATACTTACACATATATACACACAGTAGGGAAGCTGAGGAGTTGCATAATATCTATTTTATTTGCAGGCATTATTACTCTAAGAACTTTTGGTATTAGAAGAACACTACTTCCCAAAGTGACATTGTTCCTTAAATTTTTAAAACACATTTTGTACTTTGCTTGTTGGTCTTTGTTAATCGTTTCTATGAGATTTTTGATAGTTCATTGGTGAAATGATTATACGAGACTTAGCAGCTTTTGTCAATTTAAAAACACGTGATTTTTATGGTACAAGGAATTTGAAATACACTGCGCTGTGATTAGTGAGAGGTAAAGAGAACTTAATGAAGCAGGAAATTGTTTTTGTAAACTTTTACTAATTTACTATAAAAATACTAGTACTTTTATCCAAATATAAAATTTTCTCATCTTTATAATGTTTGTAGTATTAATAATAAAGTAATATTTTTATAACTTTCATTTAAAAAACATTTCAAATCCACAACTATTTTTATTTTTAATAACGGCGATATTCTTTTAGTGAACTGAAGGCTGAAGATAAAGACAGGAGGCTGTTGATAGAGATTTGGGACTGGGATAGAACATCGAGGAATGATTTCATGGGTTCTTTGTCATTTGGCATCTCTGAGATTATTAAAAAACCCTCGGAAGGGTGGTATAAACTGCTAACTGCCGAAGAAGGCGAATTTTACAACGTACCCGTAACACCTGATAATGACGACGTGGCTCGCTTTAAAAATCAATTAAAGGTAGCCCATTCGTTTAAATTTGTTTCGATGACATTAGTCTCTGTTAATCAGGTGATTCCTGTATATGTTTAAACTTTGTTTCGATGACAGTTAGTCTCTGTTAATCAGGTGATTACTGTATATGTTTAAACTTTGTGTATTTTTTTGCATAATATATAAACTGTGCAATCAATCACTATTGTCTCAATACTTGGCTAATCTGCAGTGTTCGTAACTAAACAGTAGTGCTTTGTTCATAGTCCTAGGGCGCAACTGTGCAATCAATCACTATTGTCTCAATACTTGGCTAATCTGCAGTGTTCGTAACTAAACAGTAGTGCTTTGTTCATAGTCCGAGGGCGCAACTGTGCAATTAATTACTATTGTCTCAACACTTGGGTAATCTGCAGTGTTCGTAACTAAACAGTAGTGTTTTATTTATGGTCTGATGACGGTAATATGCAATTAATTACTATTGTCTCAACACTTGGCAAACCTGCAGTTTTCGTAAGTAAATAGTGTATGTGTGAACATTTTACACACATTTTAATTTGTGTACTATACTAAGATAGTTTTTCTTTCCTCCTCAGCTTAAAGAAACATTCATTATTTTGTAGAATACATCTGATCGTATTTCATGTACTTTTTTAAAGAACGCATTACACCAGGAATTCTCAACTATTCCAATTTTTAAACTTAAAATATATGCACAGATCATTATTCTTCAGCTGGGATGACTGGTGTAGAGAAAATTTACTTAATGTTTCACTAATGTTTTACCACGGGGAGGTAAATATATCTGTTGTCGATTGAATCTTTGTCATATTTAATTGTTTTGCGAGTATTACTTTAGAGATTGTGCATTGCCTATGTTATCCTCATAAATAATACCGTTTCAATACTTGAGGAACCTTTGTAATTATATCGTTTTGTTTCAGTAACAATCAGAACACATCCTTTTATAAGTAAACAGTAGAATATTTTGATGAAAATTATGGGACTGAACTGTGTGGTTTAATATATGCAAACTTCCGGTTTCACATTTTCTGTTTTGCAGCTTTTATGGGCGTTTTCACAATTACATTTAAGGGAAGCAACTTTTCATGTCCTAAGATAACCTTTCATTAATCATGAATTTACATAACATCCGTCCAAAGGACGGATACTCCAGCTAGTTAAAAATAAATAATTATGTTCTAACAATTAGTGACATACACGCTTAGAAAGAAAACAAACAAGTTTTTAGTACGTTATTCAATGGAGCTACGTAAATAAACAATGCAGCCCAAACACTTGTTGTACTTGCATATATTATATCTCATCATTGTTCTTGTAGTTAAATACAGTAATTGGTAACTATAGCAAATAATGCTGTCCTAGCAACGTAAAGTTTGTAGCTAAATAAATGGTAACGGTATCAAATAATACAGTTCATGCAACGTAAAACTAATAGCAAGTCAGAAATGTTATGTTGCGACTCAGTAACCGAAATTAAGAAAGCAAGTCTCTTCCGAAATTTGGTGCATATGTACTTTTTGCATCTTTTATTGAAGTAGAGTTGAAGAACTGTAGGAAGAACCGTGTCAATAACAGTGATATTTCAATTCTTGGTGACCGTAAACACATACTGAGGTAATTTTGTATTGACTCGTTATATGAAATGTGAACTTGCAGTGTTTATAAGTAAACAGTAGTGCTTTATTTATAGTCTCAACACTTGGTAAACCTGCAATGTTTAAAACTAAACAGTAGTGCTTAGTTATAGTCTGAGAGCGGTACTGTGCAATTAATCACTATTGTCTTTATACTTTGTAAACCTGCAATGTTTAAAACTAAACAGTACTGCTTTATTTATAGTCCGAAGGCGGATGGTAGTAATTCACTAAGTAGACGGAATGATGGATTACTACCATCATTCCGTCTACTTAGTGAATTACTACCATCATTACTAGATGGTAGTAATTCACTAAGTAGACGGAATGATGGTTCGTACAAAAATACTCTTTCATATTTTGAAACAGTATATTTTACTTCACTAAGTGTTGAGACAGCACTGCTTATTTACTGGGAGTGTTTTATTTCACCAAGTGTTGAGAGACAGCGCTGCTTAGTTAGACGGTGTGTTCTACTTCATCGAGTGTTGAGAGACAGCGCTGCTTAGTTAGACGGTGTGTTCTACTTCATCAAGTGTTGAGAGACAGCGCTGCTTAGTTAGATAGTGTGTTGTACTTTACGAATTGTTGTGACAGCATTTTTATGTTAGCTGTAATTCAACAGTTTCTGAACAAACACACATTGTTAGCAATCAGAGATTTTTATCGCATTGTGGGTATTCGTAGTGCAACTTTTTTGGTCCACAGTTATGCTGTTTCAACATATTGTAGACATGTTTACTTTGTTGGTAAACAGTGCTGGAACAAAACATCTTTCACGTGCAACATCTGTAGTTATCAATGTCAGTGTTTATCAACAACAAATGAGTAAAATTGCATAGATGAAAATAACTTCCCCAAAATTCGGGGACATTTATATCCTATTGTCATGATTGTGAACATTTGAATTTGCTCTCCCAAAATTGGTGGACATTCCTGTTCTCATGACTGGAAACTTTTGGATTTGTTATCCAAAAATTGGTGGACGTTCATGTCCTGCTCTAATACTTGTGAATTTTTGGATTTTTATAAGTACATTGTCGATCTATAACTTCAAACATTCAATCAAAAATGTTCAGTAATACTAAAGAACTCTAATGAGTTTAGTAAATGTTATTGAAATATTAAAATGTGTTTTTGTAACAGTTTGAATAAGAAGACAACAATGTATAGGTGCATGCATCCTTATATCTTGTGTTTCATTTACTTAACTTTCAACCTCTCCTAGGGGGTGCGCTTGTACCACACGTTCTCTCAATACTGTCGGTCAAATAAACCATGCCCCACCCCCAACTATTAATTTGTCTCCTACTCCTCCGAGTAGTCGTGTTAGTAACAATTGCAATAAGGAACAGTCTAAATAACCAGCACTGTCTCAACACTAACTAACAACGTTGTCCCAACACTCGATGAAGTAGAACACACCGTCTAACTAAGCAGCGCTGTCTCTCAACACTCGGTGAAATACAACACACCGTCTAACTACGCAGCGCTGTCTCTTAACAGTTGATGAAGTACAACACATCGTCTAACTAAGCAGCACTGTCTCTCAACACTCGGTGATACTTCAACACACCGTCTAACTAAGCAGCACTGTCTCTCAACACTTGATGAAGTAGAACACACCGTCTAACTAGGCAGCGCTGTCTCTCAACACTTGGTGAAATACATCACTCCGAGTAATTAAGCAGTCTCTGCTTGCTAACAATGTGTGTTTGTCCAGACACTGTTTAGTTACAGCTAACATAAAAATCTCTGCTTGCTAACAATGTGTGTTTGTCCAGAAACTAAATAGATTACGTTATACCTTGGATGTTGTTTCCCTGACATTACATGAAGATATTGAACAAATAGATTACGTTATACCTTGGATGTTGTTTCCCTGACATTACTTTCCAATTATATTGATGTTTCATGTCTTATATTTTCGTTTGAAAAAAAACAAAACAAACTAGCACTCATATGTGTCATAATATGAAAGTGTAACTTGGTGAATAAACTGATAAATGAAACGCTGTTAATGAACCACCATTTTATTATTATTCCGTTCAAGTATAATCTACTAATAAATAGCTTTACAGATAGATCCATTTGTTCGAAATCTTACAACTGAAGCGAGAATTAATTAGTCATGACTGAAAACAAGGGAAGTGTTTCTGACACCTACCTTGACTGCGTAAGAAATAATAAAGTAACACAATTTAAGGGACGGCTTAAAATGTATGTGAATCTATTATTATTTGGATTTTTCACTCTGACACTAAAAATCCACTGAACTCCTTCCTATTTCTAGTACGTCAAGCTAAAAACCTCGTTCCCATGGATCCGAATGGGTTATCAGATCCATATGTGAAACTGAAGCTGATTCCAGATATGGGAAATTCCATGAAGAAAAAGACCAGAACAATTCGTGCTAATTTGAATCCAAAGTGGATGGAAACACTGTCTTTGTAAGTGATATTTAATAATCACACTTTGGTTTATAGATACTTGCATGTTTTATAATTAAGCGATATTTTATGTTAGCTGTAATTCAACTGTGTTTGAGCCCTTGTTGGACGTACACATGTTGTTAGCAAGCAGATATTTTTTATGTTAGGTGTAATTCAACAGTGTCTGGGCAGAGATTTTTATGTTAACTGTAATTCAACAGTTTCTGGACAAACACACATTGTTAGCAAGCAGAGATTTTATGTTAGCTGTAACTGAACGTTGAATATCTTCAAGTAA